GTGTGTGTGTGTGTGTGTGTGCGGGAAAGCGAGCGAGGGGCGAGCGAGGCACCGACAGAGCGCATGTCTCGTCCCCGCCGGCAGCCACTCGCCGTCCACCACCATCTTCTGCATGTGCCACATTTGCAGCCGGACCGAGACTCCGTCTCCCAGGGCTATGGAGACTGCGGGAAAAGCCTGGCCGCCGCGCGCCCGGGGCTGCTGAGGGCAAGCGCCGCGCTCGCCCAGCCCGCGCTCTCCTCCCGCCTCCCGTGCGATCCCTATTATTATTGTTGTTGTTGTTATTTAATTTTAGCGCCAGCGTCTCCCATGCCTGGGCCGAGCCCCCTTTAGGAAGAGTGTGAGAGCGAGCGGGCGAGAGAGAGCGAGAGAGCGCGCGCCAGGGAGAGGAGAGCAGGAAGATGAGGATTATTTGCAGACAAATTGTCTTGTTGTTTTCTGGATTCTGGGGACTCGTCATGGGAGCCTTTCCAAGCAGCGTCCAAATAGGTAAGCGCCGCGGGGCCCCCGCAGACCTCCCAAAGTGAGTTCCCGGAGTTGCCGGCGAGCTCCCGGGGCTCGCTTCCCTCCCGGCCGCGGCCCTTCCTCCTCCGCCTCCCCGCGCCCGGGGAGGCAGCCTCCGCGGCCGAGCCTCCGCCGGCGGCGTGCCCGCGGGACGACCGCCCGCCCAGCCGGTCCCCTCCAGCCCCCAGCCCCGGGTCCACCTTGGATCTGACTCGGTTAAGTCGGGTTGCAGGGAGTGGGGTGGGGTGGGGTGGGGGGTCCCCCCTGGGGGAGGGGTGTCTGTGTATTTCATACGATTCACCTGATGCTGGACGCAGCCGCCTCCATCCGAGTACTGAAGGACACTGGCTTTTTATTTTATGTTATTGTTTAACCGTTTCCACCGCACCGGGTGCCTTTCCCGGCTGTGGCTTAGCCCATGGCAAAGTTCGATGCCTCTCTGATCTCTCTCTGTCTCTCTCTGTCTCTCTCTGTCTCTCTCTCCGATCTCTCTCTCTCCCTCTCTCCTCTCTCTCGTGTGGCTTTGTTTCCTTCTTCACGACAGCTCTTGCCTGGCTAGCTGCCTCCCCTCCCCAGCCACCAGCCCCAGGTCCTGGGCTCTGCTGGCTCGGCTGGCTCGGCTGCTCTCCTGGCTTTTCATGGGACGCAGCTATTGAATTTCTTCCAGCCCAGCCTCAGTGCTGCATCGTTTCTCATGGAAGGTGCAGCCAGCCCCCGAGCTCAGGAGACTGAAGGGCCACGACCAGCAGAATCACAAAGTTCATCTCTCTCTAGAGCCCTGGCTCTTGGCCAGGACGCCCCTGCATTCCTCCAGCCCTGTGTTTCCATGTACATCCCCCCCTCCCCCGTGTGCATCTGCCTGCTCTTCTGAAAGAGAGAGAACCCCAGAGCTCCCGGTGTGACCATGTTGGGAATCCTGGGGTGGACAAGTGACAGAAGGTAAAACCCACGCTCGGTGTGCTCAGAGGTCACTGTGATCATGACACATCGGGGCCAGGAGAAAAGCAGAGCTGTCGTCCAGAACCAAAACACCGAGCATGCCTCTTAGGGACTAGTCTCCCCAAAATGTGCCAGGGATCGCCCCTTCACTGTACGGTGCTTGTGAGTAGACTTGACAGTGCTTCAGATATTGACGAGAGGGGCCACTGAATGCGTTCCTCTCTGTTTGCCATAGGTGGTCTCTTCATCCGAAACACAGATCAGGAATACACTGCTTTTCGATTAGCAATTTTTCTTCATAACACCAGCCCCAATGCGTCAGAAGCTCCTTTTAATTTGGTACCTCACGTGGACAACATCGAGACAGCCAACAGTTTTGCCGTGACAAATGCCTGTAAGTAAAAAAGCTAAGTTACATGGCTAAATGAGAAGAGACCTGAAATGAGGTATTGCCGTCCCTTTGCGCTCTTTTATTGTGGTTTTGTGAAAGAATGTCACGATTCCCACAGTTGGCTGCTTGCAGAGGAAAATCAGAGTTAAGGGAAGATTTCATCTGGGATTATTTAGTTCTTCTCTCCTTTCATTCCTCCCTACCTTCTTCTTTCTTCATTTCTTGTATGGAAAATACAACTTCATTTCCCCTTCAGTGCTATTCCTATCATGTAAATGTCAGTTTAGTGACATGTACTTAATCTAGTTTTTGTGTTCCCTTCCTTTAGTTTTTTTCTCTTGTTTTGTTTTTTAAATTCTCTTCCTTTGGTTTTTTTCTTTGCTGGTCACTTGAGTAAACCCAAGTTTTCTTGCACAGAGGGGCAGCTGCTCTTTTCCCCATGAAGGTGTAGGTGACAGAAGGAAGGCTTGCATGCTGGGGAGAGATGGGAGTGCTGGGGTGGAGGTGTCTGTTTGAGTCGGTTGATGCCTCTGGTCTAGTGATGTCACTGGAGTCTGCCCCACTCCTATGTTCTGGGCACTCCTATGTTCTGGGTTGTAAATGTCTCTGCCTATCGCGCAATGCATATATCCTGTGGCTGTAATGCCATGAATTGTACCTTGATGCCAAATCAACTTAGTCTCAGATCCACCTGAACTCACAAACCAGCCCAGCTGGATCTGCTCTCTCCACAATGAAGTGAAGTGAGTGACCTCACGTAATGTTCAAAGGAAATGGTGGCACCGTGTTCCCACACAGGATTCTGGGTCATTTCACTTAAGGAAGCACATGGGTTAATTCACAACATGCAATAATCTAACAGCTGGCCAGTGGGTAGCGTTCTACTGCCTTTTCATTCTAGGAGGAAATGTGTATTTTGAATGTTTCCTCTGATTGATGTGCTCGTTTACCACTATTTCATAATTCTAGAGGAAGAATGGCTCTAGCTGATCTAAGATGTACTGGGAGTGTTTCCATATAAAATTTCCCATGATTTCACAAGAAGGATAAAATGTTTAAACTGAATCATAGATCGTTTTTATGATGACAAGTTGGCACATCTTTCCATTTTAAAAGAATCCTCTTATACAAGAAAGTATACTGAACAAAGAAGCAAGTGATATAGAAAGCAAAGGGTTTGTAACTGATTTGAAGGTTTCTCTTTCACTAGCAAATATTTTCATTTGCATTTGTGTGTGGTTAACTTATTTAAGACATACTGTGATCACTTTTTCTTGGTTTGGGGGTGGTCTGTTTACTACTTTATTAGAACTGATCTCATAAGAGGTTGGAGCATTGGACAGTTGTGTAAAATCTCACATTTACATTACTTTTCATGGATGTGCTAGTTCCTAAGAAGACTACTTCATTTAAAAAAAAAACACTTATTTCATTAACTGAGGGAATTAGCATTACATCAAAGCAGAAAGCTATTATTTTTAAGCCAGAAATACATATGTTTGAGTTATGCTTGTAAATAGACATTTTTTTGCAAATTTTGTTATTAGTATTATACATCTAGAATTAAAAAGGGATGTCAGCAGGTCCAATAGTTCCATAAGTGTTCTCCTTAACACATGAATATTATTTGTTTATTTAAATACTTTTCATGTGTTCAAGATTCTGTTGATATAAACATTACTAGCTTTAAAAGTAATCCATACTCTCTACATGAAGGTACTATATCAACAGTAGATTACTTTTAAAGTAATGAATGATTTTCTTAAAAGTGATAGCTACATTAGTTTGATTTTTGTATGGTTTTCACAAATTAAGACCTTAAAACTGTGAAAAGTTTGCACAGTGGTTTCCACCTACGTAAGGTATGAAGTGCCAATCCTTTCTTCGTCCTTATAATTAACCTCATTTGGGATCAACTTAGTGACTACTATTTTATTTGTATAAAAAATTATGTACGAATCCTGTGTAAATATGAGATAGTGGTGAGAAGTCGCATACAGAATCTGGAGGAAAAAGTATGAAATAGAGTGGATGCTACTATTTAATACATTAAGAGTGGGGAAACCAAAAGCAGGCTTTATTCTGTTTGTTTTGGCGATGTACTTTTTTTTTTGCCATCGTATGCAATTGATGTAGGGGTTTAAAAATACTCCTAAACAGCAAAATGTAAATAAGGGAAAATATTTTCTAGTGGGGAAAAAGACAATTATTTTGACAAATGACTATGCCAAATATCCTTAAGGCAAACCTGAGCTGAATTTGAGAGTATGGGTCAGCTGATTGGTGGCTGTTGAATGAATTGACCAAAAACAGATGCACATGTGATTTTTCCAGTCTAGTTAAAGGTGAAATGTAAGCAAGAAGTATAGGCTGACCTCATACATCAAGCTCTTGCCTTTGGCTACAAAAGGGTAAACACAATTTTTTTTTCTCCCTGTGATACAGACTGGATTTTCAAATGTGTCATGTTGGATTGCAATGTAGGGCACTGGATTTCTTTTAACTCAGTATAAATAAGGGTCATTAAAGAGGGTGTTTTCAGCGTTTATGGAACACACCCCTCCTACTAAAGCAGTGTATTCATGGGCAGATATAATTTAAAACTTTATTTTGCTCAAGATAACAATAGTATCTACAAATACTGTGGGCAACTAAACTCATCTTTGTATAGCATTTATGTACACCTAAGTGATCTGGTTATCTCAAAACCTGTATTTTTAATGTAAATCTCTAGTCCTTGGAAGGACACCTATTTTGGCTTTACAGTTTTTCCAGAAAGCATTACTTACTTTTTTTTGTAGCTATTTACATGGTTGGAAAGTTACACTTTGCTAGATATAAAAGAGAAATTAGAAGAAATATAGATAATACTTAGGACCTCTTTCAATAAAAAATGTGTAATAAAAAGCCCTTGAAGTAAAATTTCAAATGTAATTAGATACACACATTTCTTTGTTCGGATGTATACAGAGTATACGGGATGATAAAAAATTAACATTGGAAACACACAAATTCCATATGGATAATATTCTTTAGTAAAAATACCATCATTTCAGGTAGATATTAAAATAGTTATCTTTGAAAACAAGCATGTAAATTAAGTCAAAAAATGCCTTTTATAGAACATTTGAGGCAGCCAAAAATAGGCTAATTTTCAAAATATTTTTCCAATAGTTACTAGCTGGAGATTTGGCTAAAGGATATAATAGGTTAAGTTTTAACAAATGTAGTAACCAAAGTAGTCTATCAAGAAATTTTCTATATGAAAATAGTACTTGAGACATTACTCTTACTAGTTTAATTCATCTACATTAAAACTCCCTATCAAGGCAGCCTCTGTTCAATATAGTCACAGATACTCAGTTTCTAAAATAAGCCTTTCAGTTTTCTTCCAGCCAGGTGGAAGTATGTAATGAAACATTTCAAGTATGCATATATTGTTATCTTGATGAAATATGAAAGATTTTTATAGAATATTTCCCACCTTTTTAATTTTTATGGAAGAACCAGTTGGTTAATTAATTTCGTGCTGGCCCTGAGGCTTGAATTCAGGGCCTGGGTGCTATTCCTAGCTTTTTTTTTTTTTTTTTTTGTCAGTGGTGAGGCTTGAACTCTGGGCCTGGGCACTGTCCCTGAGCTCTTCAGCTCAAAGTGTTTGCTCAAGGTACATGTGCTCTGTCACTTTCTACCACTTGAGCCACAACACCATGTCCGACTTCTGTTTTTTTGTGGTTAATTGGAGAAAAGAGTCTTATGGACTTTCCTGCCTCAGCTGACTTCAAACTTTGATCCTCAAATCTAGAATAACTGGCATGAGCCACCAGCCAGCGCTTGGCTCCTTTTTTTAGTTATGAATATGTTTATCTTGCTCTCCTCTTTTGTCAAAATTTTTTCGGTTGTCCAACAGATGATTGAGAAGTTGCAACAATCACAAATGGATTATGTAGCATACTCTAGTAAACATCAAAAGCCTTTTTATTCTTTTAAGATAAATATTACTTCTGTTTGTGGCCAATTTACTTTTCAACCCTAAATATCCAAGATGTACATGTAGTTTGGCATGTAAAGTAGATTTGTTTAGTTAACTTAAACACACAGAGAGTGTGACATATGAAACAAGACCTTCAGGGAGGTATGTAACCCAAACACACCAAACTTACCCAATAACTTGGCAGTTTGGGTCTAACTAACACTGTTAACATATTGTACATTTTCCCTTTCAGAAACATGCATCCCGAAAAAGCATTCTACAAGTTTACATGAGGCATTTATTATTCCTAAACATGATAAAGATAAAATTCTGACTGTAAAGAGTGAAAATAGTCGGGCGCCGGTGGCTTACACCTGTAATCCTAGCTACACAGGAGGCTGAGATCTGAGGATCACAGTTCAAAGCCAGTCAGGGCAGGAAAGTCCAGGAGACTCTTATCTCCAATAAACTATTCAGAAAAATCTGGAAGTGGCCCTGTTGCTCAAGTGAAAGAGCACTAGCCTTGAGCAAAAGAAGCTCAGGGACAGCACCTCAGGCCCAGAGTTCAAACCCCAAGACTGGCAAAAAAAACCCCAAAACCCACAAAATCACAAAAAGTAAAAATACCTTAGAATTAAGAATCATTTTGCTTACTTTTAGGAACATGAGTGATGTGATTCTATTGTGCCTCTTATTAAGCTTTCTTAATTTGAACTGATTGCAAAAGTCTATTCTGGTTTGAAATAATTCTTTAGTTTTAACATTTTTTTAATCTCTTGCCCATAATTATCTACTTTGAGGTTAATGACAGAGATCTGAGTCATATTCCGATGGATTATCCATCTATTAAATCATAGGAAGGGCCAAAATTTCCATTGATAAATCTCTCAGGTGTCACAGGATTAAGCTTTCATAAAACTGTCAGAAACATTCTTTACTTATTTTCCATTCTGGATTCTTCCAAAGGTTTTTATTTCCCAAGGAGGAAGCATTTTAATTCCTGCTGTTGTGAAAAGTCTGTATCTTCATCTTT